AGCATCAACAAGGCATTTTCGCCCACAGGACTGCCGCATACTGGATGTTTTTCCCTTTTCACACCATTCTTTGTAAACCCTAGAAATGGTTGTGCGTGAAAATCCCAGTAACTGAGCAGATTGTGAAATACTCAGACCGGCCCGTCTGGCACCATCAACCATGCCACGCTCAAAATTGCTTAAATCACCTTTCTTTCCCATTCTGACATTCAGTTTGGAGTTCAGGAGATTGTCTTGACCAGGACCACACCCATAAATGCATTGAAGCAACTGCCATGTGATTGGTTGATTAGATAATTGCATTAATGAGAAATTGAACAGGTGTTCCTAATAATCCTTTAGGTGAGTGTATATACTACGGTATATATATATATATTGAATGTATACAAGCTACAATGATTGTTTCACAGCAGCTTCACAATAGTATCAAATTCAAAATTGCCTGAGAAATTCTATAGCCAACAAGCCAATAGTGTCAGCTCAAGTCACTTCAGTGTTGATTCAGTTCAGTTTAATAACTGTAACATTCATCAATTGTGCATACATACTGTATATACAGTGTTATTGTGCACATACCTGTACATGTACATGTGACAAACTCCTGTAACTCCACTGCACACTGAACAAGCAAGGTGCAGGTGCAGGTGGTGCAGGTGGATTAATGTGAGAATGAAACACAGGTTTTAATTTAGAAACATGAAAGACGGGATGAATTCTCCTGTGTGCAGGAGGACGTTTGAATCGGACTGCCACCGGACTAAGGATCTTGGTGACAGTGAACGGGCCGATGAATTTGGGAGCTAGCTTGTTAGAAACGGAGCGAAGTTGAATGTTCTTGGTTGAAAGCCACACGGCCTTAGCCTTGGTGCGCGCCCCCACCTGAAGCAGAGTCACACGGCCTCTGGTCCACGTGCGGTGGCACCTCTGGACGAAGGCGTGAGCGGAGAGGACCGCGACTTCAGATTCCAGACTAGGAAAAACAGGTGGCTGGTAACCTAAGCTACACTCAAACAGAGATAGGCCCGTGGATGACACTGGTAACGAGATGTGAGCGTACTCAACCATTGAGAGCTCCTGACTCCAGGAGGAAGAACTCTTCGATACCAAACATCGCAACACTCTTTCCAAATCTTGGTTGGCTCTCTCAGTTTGGCCATTGCTTTGGGGATGAAACCCTGAAGATAGACTGACACTCGCTCCCAGTAATTTACAAAACTCTCGCCAAAATTTAGACACAAACTGGGGCCCCCTGTCCATCGGGAAGCCATGTAAACGAACGACGTGATCCACAACAGTCACCGCTGTCTCCTTGGCAGAGGGTAATTTATGCAAGGGGATAAAATGGGCCGCCTTCGAGAACCGGTCCACTACGCTCAAAACGACCGTCTTGCCCTGGGAGGGTGGTGATAAAATCTAGCGCTATGTAGGACCAGGGTCTCGAAGGGACAGACAGCGGTTGGAGTAACCCATCTGGGGGTCGATTGGAAGTCTTACCAGTGGCACAAATCGAGCAAGCCAAAACAAAACTGCGAATGTCACGAGCCATTAATGGCCACCAGAATCGTTGCTTGACCAAAAAACTGTTGTGGTTAACTCCTGGATGACAAGCCACATTAGAACAATGCCCCCACTGAATAAAGTCAGACCGTAATCCCTCCGGCACAAACAATCGATTCGTTTGGCAACCGGGCGGAGGCGTTACCCCTTCTAAGGCCATCTTGACCTTCGATTCGACCTCCCATGTGAGTGTGGAGACAAATAGGGTCTCGGGTAAAATGTACTCGGGAGTGGGCGGCGTTCGGAATGGTCAAAAATGTGCGATAAAGAATCGGGTTTGATGTTTTTGGAACCCGGGCAGTACGAGAAAGAAAAATCAAATCGACCGAAAAAAAGTGCCCACCGAGCCTGCCTGGAGTTGAGTCTTTTGGCGGTTCTGATATATTCCAAGTTCTTATGATCGGTCCAGACGATAAAAGGTACCCCTGACCCTTCTAACCAGTGACGCCATTCCTCCAATGCTAACTTGACTTCCAACAACTCTCTGTTACCAATGTCATAGTTACATTCGGCAGGTGATAAACGATGGAACAAAAACGTGCAAGGATGCATCTTGTCGTCTGTGGACGAATGTTGGTAAAGTACTGCGCCTACCCCCACCTCTGACGCGTCGACCTCCACCACGAACTGACGTGATGGATCAGGGGCTATCAAGATGGGAGCTGAAACAAAGCAGCCTTTCAGTTTGGTCAATACATTCTCAGCTGTATCCGACCACCTGAACGTAGTTCTAGGGGAGGTCAAGGCAGTCAGAGGATCGGATAGTTGGCTGAAATTGCGAATGAAACGCAGATAGAAATTGGCGAACCCCATAAACCTCTGTAGGGCCTTACGGAAATCTTGCCTTGGCCAATCTACCACAGCCTTAACCTTCTCATGATCCATACGTACCCCCTCAGATGAGATGATATAACCTAAGAAAGGAACAGATTGTGCATGAAAAGCGCATTTCTCCGCCTTGACAAAAAGCCCTTTCTCTAGCAGTCTTTGAAGCACTTGCGGGACGTGCTGCACATGCTCCTGGAGATGAAAAAATAAATATGCCGTCGAGGTAGACATATATGAACTGATCGACCATATCTCGCAGCACGTCATTGACGAGAGTCTGGAAGACCGCTGGGGAGTTGGACAGCCCAAAAGGCATGTCCAAATATTCAAAGTGCCCCCTGGGGGTGTTAAACGCGGTCTTCTATTCATCCCCCTGCCTTATGCGAACCAAATGATAGCCATTACGTAAATCCAATTTCGTGAAGACCGATGCTCCCTGCAACCTCTCGAAAGCTGAAGACATCAGCGGCAAAGTATAAGTATTCTGCGCCTCCTCGTTCCATTGGCACTCTGCTGCCAGGGTTCGGAACTCGATGGAATAGTCAGATACCGGTCAAATACTCGCCTCATATCCTCGGAGAGTGCCTAGAACGAGGCGCAGCATGGATCCTGGTTCTCCCACACTGCCGTTCCCCATAACGCCACTCTTCCTGTCAGCAGCGTCAGGACAAATGCCACCTTCGTTCATTCGTTGTTGAACATCCTGGGTTGCAGAGAAAAGTGCATGGAACATCTGGTCAAGAAGGCTCTGCAGTAGTTGGGTTCCCCCGAATATGCCTTATGAACAGATAGGTAAGGTTCTGACTGGAAGGGCGGCTCCGGTGGTGTGGGCTGGACCGGCGGTGTGGGTGGCGCAGCGGGACCTCTCAGATGTTGGAGTTGCTGAGTGAGCTCAGACACCTGCGCCACTAGAGCCTGCACCGCCCACCCTGTGTTTGAGATACTCTCTTCCTGTGCATCCACTCTCGTGATGCTGTGGGATATTATGAACTCGTCCACCGTCGATCCTCCTGCTGCTTCCATGAAAGGGTCAGATCGTTCTGTGACGAACAGACAGGGAGGATGCAATAATGCAGGTAAAAGGTATTTATTGGAAATACACAGATGGTCAGATATAGACAAAACACACAAACACAGTGGCTGCAGGGCGCAGCAGGGACCTCGATGGACAACTACGGTGGTGATGATGGTGAGGCTGGAGAACGGTCCGTGAAGTGCCAGGTGAGAGAAGTAATCCACAAGGGACAGATGAACACGAAGAAATCCAGAACACCAACCACGAACACGCCAGACAGAACCGGAACAGGAAACAACACCGGAAAAATCCACAACGATCTGACAAAGACAAGATGAAAACTGTGAACATAAGTAGCCACCGCTGATCAGATGCAGCTGGCGCCGCTGATCAACGGTAGTGATCAGTGACCACGCACACACACAATAACAATCACACGAGACGAGAAAGAGACATTGAATTCAAGAACCGTGACAAAAATAGTTCGCTGTTGCAAGAGATGTCTGATGTTTTGCATGTTGTGTGTGTTTATTGTGGTTTTGTGTGTAGAGTTTCAAGAAATTGAGCCATAGTTTCAGAAATTGTGTATAAGCAATTTGAAAAAAACTCTAAATAAAATCCAAGAGAAACACACAGGAGAATAAATAGAAGATAACTTTCAACCACAACACATTAAAGCAAACCATACTGGACAAAGGAACTGAGGTGACACAGGGCTTAAATAAAAGAAAGACCAAATGAGTTACTAATATACAGGTGAACAAAATCAGTAATAGGGAACAAATTGGCTCACTAGGAAACAAGGTCAGAGAAACCGAACACCACAATGAACAAAACATAATCCTGACAATGTCCATGTATATAACCAAATGAATAGCCCAACTTTACAGTGAATATTGCCATAAAAGTTAAAGCCGGCAATGGCAGCCTGCCTAAACATGCAATTAAGCATTTAGAGATATATATCTTTTTTCCTCTCAAAATTATATTCATATTGGGTTTTTCTTTTTCTTCTGTTAAACAGTCAATAAAATCACTAAAATCATTATACTGCATTAAAGATATTTAATTGTAGAAGGTGCTTTTTTCTAAAGTGACATATGGAATATCAGCAATTCAACAAAAAGCTGCAAGACAACAATAATGGAGTGACATCACCTTTTGTATATTATTTGCAGTCTAAAACCATGAACGGCCTAATTATCAAAGGGCTGATAACCCATCCCATCCCCTGACCCACTGTTATATAAACTTTACTGGTGATTCAGCCACCACGAGCACTTGGAAATCTCCCTCAGAGCACAGAACGGTATAGGAAGAACTTTCGAGAAAACCTCAAGATTAACACACTTGTTTTTTCAGGTACACACACAATTCAGTTGGAATCACAATTCAGTTTTTTAGTTTTCTCATCAAAGGATTTTCTCTGCTGCATGAAGTATTTGACTGTAAATATGTTATGTGTATGACCAAAATGTGTGTGTACAAAAAGAAAATGCATTTGAGGAAGTGTGAAATAAGCATTGATTATGATTGTAATTTTCCTAAGATGCTTTTGTTTATGCATTTTTGTCTGGTCTGCATTAGTTTGTCAAGTGGAATGGACAACGTCTCCTCCTTCTCCTTGTTCTCTCTCACATTTCTGAATGACACCAGCAGGTCCAGCAGGATCACTATATTCTCTTTTGCCCTCCCAGGATATTTTCTGACCATTTTTGTCAACGCTGTCTTGATTTTCATTATTGTTCTGGAGAAAGTCCTCCACCAGCCTATGTACATTTTTGTGTGCAATTTATGTATAAATGGATTATGCGGAGCCACAGGATTTTATCCACCCCTACTGTATTATTTACTTAATGAAACCAATGTAATCTCTCTGGAAGAATGTGCTATACAAAGTTTTGCCATTTTCACCTATGCAATAGGGGAGTTTACTAATCTGAGCGTAATGGCATTCGATAGGTACTTGGCAATCTGCAGACCGCTATACTACCATACTGTCATGACAACTATCACTGTTTGGAAGCTGCTGACTTTCATATGGATGTTTCCCTGCTGCACTGCAATACTGATCATACTGATGACGCTCAGGTTTCCGATTTGCATGAATCAGATAAATAAACTGTACTGTGAAACCTGGGTCTTAGAGAGACTTACCTGCAGGGTGGACACTGCTCAGTTTGTGATCAATGGAATATTAACGTTTGCTGTTAATGCTCTGGTATGGGTTGTGTTTTTGTCATATGTTAAAATAGTGATCGCTTGTAAGCACTCTGTCCAAAACCACAAGAAGTTCATAACCACATGTCTGCCACATTTGGTAGCTTTTTTGAATTATGTGGTGTGGTCACTTTTTAATGCCCTATATGAGCTGTTTGGAACTAGCAGTCTGCCTCCGGGTTTTAAAAACTTGTTGTCAGTTTCCTTTGTGATTGTTCCACCTCTGGTTAATCCTATAATATATGGAATTGTATTAACTCCTATTAGGACCAAAGCAAAGTGTATATTCCAAAAACTGAGCATTGATTCATAACACATCAGACCTGGAAAAATAACATGGCTCGCTAGTATGGTTTGCGTGCTCCCTGATGATTCATGACTGTTATGATAAATATCAAAATAAAAACCATGAGTTTGTGGTAAAATTGTATGATATTAAATATGAATACAATAAATACATAAATATCAATAAAAAGATTGCAATGCAACTTATTTAGTCATTAAAACACTGATCCACTTGTCCTTCCCTAGAAAAGATAATTAATCAAATTAATGATCTACATTCACTTTTGGAACGTTTATTTTATATAAACAAAAAGCAAAACATAAAAGAGATTCTTAAAAGTTAAGTGTCCATTTCTGCATTCATGTCTGGCACTGTATATGGCAAAGTTTTATCAATTTATAAATGACTAAAAAAGGGCTACTATAATAACAATAAACATATAATCTTGGCTTGAAAAAATTTAACAATAGGGTAAATGCTTTTTTAATCTGTGTAAATATTTTAGGAAACAGCCATACTATAGTTGTTATGTAAGCGGTCAAATTGTAGTGTTGTCCATTGCCTCTGTAATTATGCTCATATGAACTATGAGAAACAATTATTCATTAAAAATAGTATTTACTTCATACAGATGCCTTAAAGGGATAGTTCACCCAAAAATGAAAATTCTGAAGAATATTGGTAACCAATATTCCAAGTCCATTTGGTTACTGGCATTCTTCAAAATATCTTCTTTTGTGTCTCAGCAGAAGAAAGAAATTCATATAGGATTGGAACAGCTTGAGGGTGAGCAAGTTATGACAGAATTTTCATTTTTGTGTGAACTATCCCTTTAAACTGTAGAGGTTGTGATAAAGGCTGCTATTCTTGGAAAACGCGAGGAACTGTATATAGCCCTTAGAATGAACAGTTGGCCTTTCAATTCATTCAGAATTTATTGTTTGCTTTACTAAGCCTTTGGTGTTTATGATGAGACTTCGTTTTAGCTAATGAGTTAAAGAGTTTCTGCTGGATCTCCATTTTCCTGAAATCATCAGAGTTGCTTCAGAATTACAGAAGGATAAAACGGTGACTCTCTTAAAGAGGACTTCGGTGGCCTTCTCGAAACCTCACAGTAGTTAAAAAAGGAGAAATAAACTCAGGTTTAGAACAACTTGAGGTTGAGTAAATGATTACAGAATTTTTACTTTTGGGTGAACTCAACTATCCCTTTAAAAGTGACAATGATAGAAGTTTTATTTTGAACTGCAGAAGCAAGTGTGCTCAAATAATGTTATTTAAACATGATAATGTATTCTTTGAGCTGAATGTACATGATTTAATAGCTAAGAAATATATGTATATATGCCTTGCTTATGCATTGGCAATTGACACTGCATATAACACATCTAATGCTATTAAAGTAAATAAAAATGAATCAGGCCTGTATCACCAACATGCTTTAACAGCGGGTAGTTGTTTTATCTGGATCTGTATTGGATGCTATGAACAATGATAACACTGAATCTCAGACAAGAAAACAGATATCAATGTAACACTTTAATGCCATCTTCTGGTAAAAACCAGAATTAAAAATGTGGCATTAAAAAACCTAAATGCCATACAGGATATTAAGATTATTGGCAAGCCATATTCTTTCCTCATGTTTTCACCCAAAACACAACTAGTCAAATGTAAAGATGTTAATGCAACCTATGAATTGTGGTTTATCCAAAATTTTGAATATGTTCCAGTTGATCCATTATTCTTATTTGTTTTGACTTTGATCTCACTATCAATAATGAAACCAAATCTGAAAATGTTATATTTCAAGAAGATATAAAGAAGTATATATACCTAAAATTCAACGTGTGGTAGCTCACATGCAATGAATACAAGGCAATTTAAAAATATTTCTGAAGCGTTTCAGCAAAGCACAATTGCAAAAATTCTCAAGAAAAAAAAGATAATTGGCTGTAGCAAACATTTGCCTGATGGGATTTCTGCATAAAAGTTCACAATAACTGATAGATGTCACAAGTCACAAGTGGCTGGATATTAGTAGCTCACGAAAATGAAGAGTACAACGAAATAGTCTTTAATTCCGTAATTCACAGGAGATGGGGTATAAAGGAATACATCCACTTTACGGACAAGACAGGACCAAGAACTGAATAAAATGGAGTACTTATACCAGAACTAAATGAGGGAACTAATAAGATAATTGGTGACACCAGGTGAACTAAATGGCTAATGCATACATACTGGGAAACTGTGCACAGGGAAATTTGGAAAAAACAATAACGTAAATCTAACAAAAGATGGCGCAAACATTCAAATTTACAGTACCCGTCAAAACTTTTACTATTGTTTAATGATTTTAAAAGAAGTATCTTTGCTCAACAAGGCGGCGTTTATTTAAGCAGAAATGCAGTAAAAAACATTACTTTTGTGAAATAGTATTACAATTTAATTTTTAAAAACAATTAAAAAATGTAATTTAAAGCAAAAATTATGTAATTTATGATTTAAATGTATTTTAAAGCAAAGATGAATTTTCAGCATCATTACTCCAGTCTTCAGTGTCACATTCTACTATGACACTGCCTATCTTTTGTGGTATTAAAACCAATAAAGCAGGCCTGTACCACATGAAAACAGTGGTTCTCTTACGAGAGGTTCTCTCGTATTGCGTAAGTTTAGCTTACGCTACGGGAAAGATTCATCTTCTCGAGATATTGAAGCCAAAAAAATTATCCTTAATTTTGTATTCATTGTCAACGCAGTGCAGCAGCTAGCAGACCTAGAGCAGGCCATCTCGCGTGCTTATTGGCTGCCCTGCATGCATCTGCTGCAGCCTACCAGTGAGCCCCGCGTGACGTCACACCCAATGAAGGGCGCTCGCGCCTTCATAGCGTCATAGCCCGCCAGAATGGGCGTGGCTTAGCGTATATAAGAAGGGGCTCGTAGGCTGAATTCCCTGATTTTTCGACTCTTCAGCGAGCTCTCCGCATCGCTGGATCTGAGAGAAGCCACCGCCGCCGTCGAACAGCGAACAGCCAGCTTAGGACAGCGCTGAGGAAGCCGGCCGTCTTCGCCACCTTCAGCCATCCGTGCGAGCTACGCTATCCGGCGACGTATCCTTTTACATTGCATTCTAAAAGAGCGCGAGCGTCTTTTTAAAGATGCCTCGCACTTCCTGCGGCTCGTGCAGAGCCCCGCTCAGCGTTGGAGACCGCCACGTGATCTGCGCTCTCTGCCTGGGCCTGGAACATGCAGAGCTCGCCCTCGCGTCCGGGGGCTGCGAGTTCTGCGAAGCGCTTCCGCTGTCGACCCTACGGGCTCGACTCGAAGTCTTTAACCCGGATGCAGCCGCTCCGCCCTCCGGGGGACCGCGCAGGAAGAAGCGCCGTTCCCTGAGGCAGCCGGAGCCCGTGGCCACAGCGACGCGCTCGCCGGAGGATCTCCCTCGAGCCTCGCTTTCGCCCTCCCCGCCTCCCCTCCCCGACGCGCAGCTGCCGCTCACGAGCCTCACTGCCGTCGCGTCTGAGGAGGAGGCCGAGGAACATGCCACGAGAGACTGCTGCTCCATCCTGGCATCGGACAGCGAGGAATGGTCGCTTCACTCCGGCTCCTCGTCGATCCAGGAATCCAGCCGTTCCCGCGTTGGAGCTGACGCGGAGCTTATGCGCCTGCTGACGCAGGCCGTCGACCGCCTCGGGCTCGAGTGGTCGCTGCCGAAGGAACCCGCGCCGAACAGGCTCGACGGCTGTTTCCTTCAAAGCCGCCGCCGTGCAGCTTCAACGAGCAGGCCCGCTCCTTTCCTGCCGGAACTTCATACGGAGCTAACGAAGTCCTGGAATGCACCATTCTCCTCGAGACTTCAGTCCCAGGCCTCCGCGTCGCTCTCCCAAGTGGACGGCGCCGCCGAGAAGGGATACACGGCTATTCCCCCTGTGGAAGAGACGGTCGCAGCGCACCTTTGCCCGCCCTCCGCGAGATGGCGGTCTCGGTCAGCCCTCCCGTCTAAAGCCTGCAGAGCCACGTCCGCCTTGGTCGGCCGCGCATATGCCGCCTCCGGCCAGGCTGCGTCTGCTCTCCACTCCATGGCTGTGTTACAGATCCTGCAAGCCGACCTCCTCCGTGAATGGGACGAGAAGGGCCGGGATCCAGCTGCGGTTACAGATCTGAGAAGCGCGACGGATCTCTCTCTCCGCGCCACCAAAACCGCAGCTCAGGCTATCGGACGAGCCATGGCCGCGTTGACTGTAACAGAGAGGCATCTCTGGTTGACGCTCGCGGATATGAGGGAAACTGAGCGAGCCACCTTCCTGAACGCGCCGCTCTCCCCCACTGGTCTCTTCGGCCCAGCGGTTAACGGGATCGTTGACCGTTTCTCTGAAGTGCAGAAGACCACGCAGGCCATGAATCTCTTCCTGCCGCGACGCTCGAGCTCCGCTACAGGCCGCTCTCGCGAGAAACAAAGCCAGCCTCCTGTACGAGCTAACACCCAGCGTCCAGCACAACCCCAGCCTTCGCAGCGACGTCAGGGCGGCCGCCCTAGGTCGCGCTCAGACAGCCGTCACAGACCGCCGCCCCCCAGGGGGCCTCGGCAGAAGATCACGCTGAAGTCTGAGCACGCGAAATCCTCCTAACAAAGAGAGAGAAAAGACGCGCGTGTCCCGCCGCGGCCGGACCGCCGTCGAAGCTTATTTCCCTGTCAGTCCCCTTCAGTCAGGCTACTGCAGTGGTTCATTTAGCAGCCAACGAGCCGGTTTGTCCACCCTCTCGCCTGCACACAAACGCCGTTTTCACGGCGACCCAGAGAAATCTCAAAAAGAGTATTATGTCTGGTCCGGCTCACGCCGTCAGTGTTCTAAGTGTAGTGAAAGTGCCCACCTCCCAGTGTTCACCCCTACACACAAGCACATCAAATATCGTGTCACCCACAGACGCTCGAGTGTTGAATGTAAGAAATGTGTCCACAGTGTTGTGCCCACTATCTGCCCGCTCTGTTACACGGTCAAGACAGCAGGTTATGAATGTAA